ATAAGTTCTTTTTAATTTTATGCTTCAGTTCAGAAAAATAGATATTAAAAACATTAAAATAAGAAAAGTAATAGTTCATATTTTTTTGTCACAAATAGGCTATTGTGCTATTAAATGTATTTTCCACAAAGTCCAAGCAGTTTTTTTTTAAGAAATTCAAAGTTTGTGAAGAAAAATGTTGCTTTAAAGTCAGTTTTTTTTATCATTTATTTAAGGACTTCCCTTGATTAAAATTTCGAAGTTCGTGCTGGTAAATTTTGTCTGTACATTTTGCTGTCTTTATATTGTGTTTAGAAAATGATCACTAGGTAGTGAAAAGCTAAAAAAGTAGAGAAAAGTTAGAAAAGGAGAAAATAGTGCAAAGAGTGATGCAAATACACAGAAACTGAGAGACAGAGTGAAGAGTATAAAGTACTTTTGTTTATTGTTTTAAAGAACGCAGCACTGTTAAGGCTTACTATGAGAAATCAGCGGAAAATAGAAGTGCAAAAACGTTTTTAAAACTGAATTTACTATTATTCATCTGTTTTATTAGCACAAAACCTAAACACTTATGGAAATAGCATAATATAACCTACTCTGTACTGTATGAAGTTTTGTCCCGTCGATGGACAGTCAAGTGATGCATGCATACTACGTGTACTGAATGTAGGTCAATAACAAATTTCAATATTGCAAGGGCATATCCTATTTGAAATTAAAAATTCAAGCTATTAATTGTTTTTGTATACTTTGTACTTCCTGGAAAGTGCTGCTGCTTGGAATAGAGTTTACGTTTTAATAGTTAAAATTTCAAGTAAATAGGTCCATGTCGAAATATGTTTGACTTTTCCAAATATTTTTTGTACTTATAAAATCACGCTCTCGATTGAAAGAAAGTAGCAACACTTTTTAAGTTAATGAACATGTTCTTTATTTATATTAAAAAAAATGGTTAAGATTTAAAGTGTATGCCCTTGCAGAAGTGTAAAATATACCTAACCTGATCATAAAAACACGAACATTTTTTAAAAATACATTTTTTCGACAGTTAATGAATAATTGCACTAAACAAAGGATATACATTGGTATAAATAGCCTATTTAAAACCCGTAAATAATATTCTGTTTTATAATGAAACGCATTTTTCTTTGTTTAAAAATCTGCCTCTCACAGCACATGAAATATGTCATTTTTACCAAAATGTCGTCATGATTGACAAGTTCATCGATATCAGTGATTTGTTTGTAACCAAGTGTATGGGATTTAACTAGCAGCTTTTTTAATCCATTGATAAAAGGAGAAAAAAATTCTGAATCCTTCTTGAAAATATAAAAAGTAATTTTAGAATGGATGTATTCTGTAAGTTCAACAACAACAGAAAACATTCATCACCTGAGATTATCAGGTGCGTTTTGCTAGCAGCTGTTTCCATTATCCTGGTCCCTAACTCCATCAAACATAATTTTTAACACATTTTCAGTTTCTACGAGTACTCCTTAACTGCAATTCCAATGCATTTTAACCATTTTTGGTATATTAGTATATCATCAATGAATAAAAAATATACAGGTATGAATATGAAATCATACAAATTATATAATTGAGATTTCTCATGACCTCTGACATCCTTGGGTTCAATGAAAATGGATGAAGGTCGTTAAAGAAGTCTTTCTTATTTCAAAATTGAAATTTAACCAGGCAACGGTTTGCTAATCTATAAATCGTACTTAGTCCATTACCAAAACTGTGGAAACCAGGTCCTTGGGTCAATGTTTTTCAGGCCTTATGGTTGTCATTTGTTATATATTGCAAATATATTACAAGATGGACATCAACAGGCAAATTTTTATATGATTTTAATAAACACGAAGCCCACAGAAACATATAGCCGCTGGTTCAGGACTAAGAGTAGGACTAGGACTAAAATGGTTTTAAATTAAAATGACTTACAAATTGAATTATTTCTTTACTCATGTACATGTACAAGACAAATGTTGCACATGTAGTTTTCTTAACAAAAACTGTAAAATGTATGGCTTGTGGTACTAGTTTTAAGTCCCAATTGCAATCTGGGCAACTGTTAATTGAAATAAGTACTTTAATTTCTTTCTAATTTTTTTTAAACCTATGTCATTTGTATCAAGCGCTCAGGCCTTATGGTGGGGCTAAATTGGTCATGCATTGAAATTTATTATACAACGTGCCTGGATTTCTTAGAGGAAAGCTGCATAAAAGTGATTATTAAAGCCTTTCAAAATTAAGTTTGTGAGACCAGAGGTGCACTTCTTTTATATTAAATTGGCAATAGCTTTAGATAGAAATTATCTCATGATTCTAAGGTGACCATTATCTCATGATTCAGCAATTGCTATTATAAAACTCTCACTCTGAATTCAGAAAAACACTTCTTTGATTATTATTGTCATATTATTAATTTAAACACGTTAGAGTAAATGTGAATGTTTTGAGTACCTCCACAGTGCCCCCCCCCCCCTCCCCAGTCAAGTTTACCATTGATAAGATCACGTGACCAGAATTAAAAATTATGATTGGACATAATGGAGATAAAACTCTCTAATATTTATAAATTTGCATCAAATGGAGATAGAACCAAAATTACGGTTAATATCTTCTTAATTTTTGTCCAAAGAAACAAAATGTTTTCATAGGGAGATAGATCTCAGCGAGCCGATTTCAACAATATGCATAACTTTGACACTTTAAAAAAAAACTTTGGCGAAAATTTGACACTTTGAAAAACTTTGACAAAAACGTTGATACCTTGATTTACTATAGTTAACTATAGTAAAATATTGTTAACTATAGTAAACTATAGTTAACCATAGTAAACTATAGTAAATTATAGTTACATGTAACTATAGTATTTTTTGTTCGGGCAGCACTAGCGGACTACGAGCAAAACCGAAGGAGACCCAGAAAGCGAACCGGGGGTCCGCTCAGGGTTTTCTTTCAGTCAGATTGTGTGCGGTCAGTCCATCTACTGTACATGTATAAATACCATTTTCCATTAAAATTGCAAATGATATCTTGCAGATGAAATTAATGGTTACACAGCCCGATTTATACCGATAAATGGGTTTTTATCTCTTCGCATCAAACACAACAAATATACAAAATGGTCACCTATGTTTTCACGACACAAACTATACAAGAGCCACGATACCAGCTGTTGCTAACATAAGCTGCCCAGTACATGGACAATACGTCATTTTCTATAATGAAAGGCCAATAAAGAACGATAACAGAACCGAACCTTCTGTATATGCACATTCTGAACTTTGTGAAGTGGAAGTATACGGTAAGACGCTTACACAAAGTTATATCATTTCAATTTATTTTGTTTATAAAAATTAAAAAAAAATATATATTTGGATAAATTAATGATAATTTAGTTTACGCTAAGATGCTTTACCTTGATTTTTGAAATCATAATAATCGTGTAATCTATTTACGTATATTGCTAAAACAATAATTAAACAAGAGATGTTTGTGAAACACTTATGCCCCTTCCCCAAATTGGAATTTTTTCCAAGTTCAAGGGGCGTAACGGAATCAGAAATGGCGTATTCGTACCTTAAACAGAAATTGACCTAAATTTTCAACTGATAAATCTGACTAATAAATTTTATTTCAATATATGCAACATCTTCAAAGAAAATGATTGGAAACTGTAAATAATTAATTTTTTTCTAAGTCCAAGGGACATAACTCTGAAAAAATGGTGCGAGCATAACCAAAACAGAACTTGATCTGGATATTTAGCTGATAAATCTGTATACCAAATTACATTTCTGTATGCGAAACCTCTGCGAAGAAAATGAACGAAAACTGCATATAATTGGAACTTTTCCAATTCAAAGGAGCAGAGCTCTGTCAAAAATGGCGCCATCGTACCCAAAATAAAACTTAATCTACATATTAACCTGATACATTTGCATACCAAATTTCATTACACTATGTGCAAGGGTTGTGAGGAAAATGAGCGGAAACTAAATGGACCGACAGGCCGACCGACCAACAAACAGCAACAAAGTCATATGTCCTCCCTTCGTCGAAGTGGGGCATCATAATATAAATACATTTGTGTGTGATTATCATATTTAAGGTTGCTCTTCACCAAGACGCTATGGCCAGGACTGTTCAAAGGCATGTCCAATGAATTGCATTGATTTCTGTCACATAAATTCAGGAAGTTGTAAGCATTGTACACCGGGCTTCAAAGGTTCTCAGTGCGAACAAGGCAAGTCTTAGGTTACAACAGCATGCTTAGATTTGTTCGAAATATACATTCTCTTATTGTTCTACATGAATCTCTGAGAATTTGTTTAATATCGTAATTTTCTATTCTCAAATAACAACGACCACGATAGTCTTTATATTTTTTAATATAATTGAAGTATGGAATAAGATTGATATTATCTGAAATTTTTTTTAAACATTTTATTTAATATTGATAATTAGTTTTTAATTTAAAATGTAATTGAATTAGTAAATCTTAGATTGAAAAAAAATTGGTGGTAAAACCAAAGTGTTTTTTTTCTTATTTTATAAAAATCAATAAAATGTAAATAAGAGTAAGGGTCAAATTCGCTTCAGTGGCCAATTTTCATATGCAAACTAAATATAATACATAATACAAATATCTTGAAAAAGTTTTTTTTAATACCATTACGGTAAACCATTACCATGACGGGGTACAACACGATGAATAACAACTGCAGATTATAACTTTGTCTTAAACCTTTATAGAGTGTGATAGTGGATTCCATGGTGAGGGTTGTAGCCTGACTTGTGGACACTGTAAACAGACAAACGAATGTCACAACATAAATGGAACTTGTTTGAATGGTTGCGCCGAGGGATATGAGGGAGAATTTTGCAATAAAAGTATGGTTAACTAAAAAAACTGAAATGCCGACATATAAAAAAAATGTAAATGATCATTTATATCAACAATCAGATGACCTTTTCCAATCTTTATTTTTTATGAAAATCAGCATGCCCTGATGGATACTTTGGAGAAAATTGTGTTCAGAAGTGCAGCGATACATGTAGAGGATGTAACAGAACAAACGGATTATGTGAGAATGGGTGTCATCCTGGCTGGCAAGGAAATTTCTGTCACCAAGGTAAAATCTTTATTATCAGAACTTACTATTTACTTTTTGTAAGAACGTTTTTTAAACAATCATTTATGGTAAATTAGTTTAAATGTGGACGGTTGAAGCATATCAACAACACTTACTAAAAAAAATAAAATATCATCATTAATGGAGGTTCATATTTAATGGTCATTTCTTTTTGAATATTACAATAATATCTGTTATAACTAGAGCCGAGCTCGTTGCAAAGCAACGAGTAGGTCTTCCGTTGGAGCTGTGGACAGGAAGTATAGACATTGGGTCAAGGTCACTGCACTTTCTTATGTCAACAACCTTTCTTCTCAGCATGAGCCTCCAGTGAATTTTAATTACAAAGTTATGCTTAAACATTTTTTTCTTTGTCAGTGACCTTGATTTGCCAGAAAGACATTTGATCAGAGTCGTGACAAAACCTCAAGTCATGAGAAATCTATGTTTCAAGTACAAGCCTCCAATGATTTTCATTTACTACTTCATGGCATAGTAAAGAAAATATTTCTTCTGTCAATGACCTTGATCTTAACAGAATAACCTTGGCTCTGTGTCAAGACAAACAGCTTTTAGTGATTAGAAGTTCATACCCCTGACAGGAATTTTAACTTTTCTGTCATTGGCCGATGAAGATGTTTAATATTTGCATTATCTCGTTCCATTTTGTCACAGGTCAGAAAAACAACATTGAGGTATTTTAAAACATCACCGGATATTAATATTCAAACAACATGGAGTTTCTATTTATGAAAGATAGACGGGGTTGAAAGTCCCTTCAATAACACGTATTTTAGATAATAGCTAGCTTTACTTTCAATAAAATTAAACTAAAAAGTCCACAAATAAAATATCTTTCCTCATTTATTTCAAAGTTTGGGTAAAAGGGGGGTGAGGAGCATGGGGATGTCTTGATGTATCCCTTATACATTCGAGGCTATTATTCTGATAGACACGAAGACCCGAGGAGTTCTTATTTGCTGATCATGATCTAAAACACGTTGACAAACCGAAACCACATGGTTTTATACACGTTATTCAATCAATTTATTCATAATTATTTCCCTTGATGGAGGAATGCATGGATAAATGATTAAAGAAAATTCCCGATGTACAATAGCATCCGTGCATAGACTTCATTTTAGTACTACTGTCTACATAATGATATTGTGCTTGAAGTTGAATAAAATCATCGAATAAATTAAATTTAGATAGGAAAGGGATATTATGTGTAATAGAATAAAAAATAGATAATACTTGATACAGGGACTCGCTGGTAAGAACATGAATGTACTTGAAAAACTCGCTTTCTCTCGTATGCGTATTTTTAAACCAAGGAAAGTAATTTGCGCTAGATATAAGTTCATCATTTTAAAGAAAATACTGAGTTATATACGATTAACGATACAAATGGTTTGACTTTGGTGACGGTTATGATTTTAACAGTTTATAATTTAGGTTGTAAAAGGATGTAATTACATGATAAGTCTGTAATATTCAGATAAGATTGTTACCCCATATACAAGATCGTAAATTTTTGATTCTGAACATGCGATGCAGGTTTATTACTACTAAATGTACATTGTATAACCTGCTACTGATATTTAATCGCGGAACAAATCTACAATGTTAGCACACTATACTAATCATCTATACGGGTTTTGAATAAATTCTAAAATAAATTAAGTTCATTGCTTTAACATCATTACCGGGTATTTCTTGAACTTTACTATAAAACCTGTAATATAAATAGACAGAGTGCAGCACAGAAGTCACTTATAAAGTTTACACGTGCCGGTGTTACTTATCGATGTTTAATCCATTTCATTGAGTATAATTCTCTCCTTACGATTCGGAGGATTCCTTTTAAAAGTTTAAAATCGGTATAGCCATGGTTAATATCTGTGATGAAAAAAATGTGTTTCGGAAAACTTGTGTTGAAAACGGATTTATTTGTGTGTGAAAAGAGCAAAGCTTATGCATTTTAATAAATATTTGTTGAGGTAAAGTAACTGCAGATCGCAAGTCCTTGCGCTATGAATCGTCAAATTACACATGGATCTAACGAATATTTAAGAATTGAAGACTGATTAATGTACATGTAAAATAAATGCCCCAGCGTTTTATACTAAAGTCAAACCTAAAACATTTTAAGATATTTTTTAAAAATTTAATTTAATTAGATAAAATAATATTTGTGTACTGTTCACAGTTGTGGAATGGTTTGAATATACCACTTATTTTGCCTATGACTGCGGGTTCCGTGGTTCACCGCGGTGTGTCGCTTTAGAATTTCTCTGCCGCGTGTAATCGAAAGATAGATTACGTAATGAATATGGGTACCGGGTGAATATGAGAATCGCACAGTAAATAATTGTGTATTATTTGACTCTTAAAGTTTTTTTTTATGAAATCAGGGCGTATTTTGTTTCCGTTCAAATTGTTTGTGTTTATATTCAAACGAATAAAAGATACTCTTTCTCTTGGGGTTGGAAAGATCTTTATTAATAAAAGGTAAATGATACCATCGAATACTCTGAACGGGAAACAAAGAACACGTTTAAAACCTAATTTAAAAAAGAGATATGGTACAGCGTTGTAAAATATTTATTACTTACGGCAAGTTTATTTCAATTATTCTTCAATATCAAAATGAGAACGGAGACTTGTTTACGGTGAATACGGATCTAGCTTTCTTTCCTACCATACGTAAGACTCGAACAAAATAATATTTTCATGGGGCAGAGATAGTATAAAAAGGAACAATTTCATCAAGAATTAATTTAACTATAACTGAGTTATAAAGCGAAAACTTTTAAGGTCCCTTGATCCCTAATTATAGGGGCCAGCCCCTTTTGAATATTATTACATGAAAGCCCTTGCAATTATGCACAACTTTTGTTCATTATATGTTAACAAAATATTTTTAGTTTTCAAGATAAAAAAGAAAATATGTGTAAATTTTCGCTCTTTTAGGCGTTCTAATTTTTGACCCCTATAAAGCGCCATTGTGAATACAGAAATCGAAAAACAAAAACCGATGTGCACAACTTCAATCCTTTCGTTATCTAAAATCAGTAAAAATTCTGCACCAGCTTTTGTGGTCTCTGAGCCTTTATCCGGAAACGAAAGCCTATAAATTTTCGTTTAAAGGGGAATAACTCAAAACCGGAAGTTAATTTTTGAAATGTTAGATAACAATCGGATAGAGTTTAATAATGTCTATAATGTCTGAAAATTTGAGTCAAAACCGTTGATAAATAAGTGAGATATGAGGTCTCAAAGTTGGCGTCTAGGAAGTAGAAGAAAAAAAGAATAATAATCTTTACCAACAGAATCAGTAGAAGGTCTTCCGTTGGAAACGAAAGACCTTAATAATTGTTTCAATAATGATTTTTTTTAAACTTTCACGACGATGCATAAAGCTCGATTTACTGTAAATGTATCACAGTACCGACCGGACACAACCTAAAAGAAAGCGAACCCGGAGCTGACCCCGGGTTCGCTCTCTGGGTCCGCTTGGGTTTCGCTTGGGGTCTGCTAGGACTGACCCCGAGCGAACCCGAAGCGGACCCAGAACGAACCCGAAACGGACCCGGAGAGCGAACCCAAAATTCTGTAGCGGTCCCAGAGAGCGAACGCGTGTTTGGTATTTCTTTACGCAGCTGTCAATCAGGATTAGTGATTAACCAATCAGCGTGTCGACCAATCAAATTGGCATATTGATCTGTCGATTGGGATAAAAGATCGAATGTGTGACGTTCTTCGATATTATTACAAACATTGTACATGCAAGCGAAGCGCGTGAATGTACGGTAAAAATCTATTACGGGTGTAAAATACTATTTTCTATTTATTAAATTCTACAGGCTTTTTTTATATTTATTTATTTTCTTTATTTTTTTAAACGAGTAATGAATTATACATTTTAAAATTCCAGGAAGAATGTTACATGAATATTTACGAATTTATATTCCTTAGGTTTTTTTTATACCAGTATTTAAAGTCAGTTAGTAAAATTTAATACATTATACAAATATCTTGGAAAAGTTTTGTTTAATACCATTACGGTGAACCATTACCATGACGGGGAAAAACAAGATGAATAACAACTGCAGATTATAACTTTGTCTTAAACCTTTATAGAGTGTGATAGTGGATTCCATGGTGAGGGTTGTAGCCTGACTTGTGGACACTGTAAACCGACAAACGAATGTCACAACATAAATGGAACTTGTTTGAATGGTTGCACCGAGGGATATGAGGGAGAATTTTGCAATAAAAGTATGGTTAAATAAAAACTTAAATACTTACTTATGAAAAAAAATGTAAATGATCATTTATATCAACAATCAAATCACCTTTTCCAATCTTTATTTTTTTTTCTAAAAATCAGCATGCCCTGATGGATACTTTGGAGAAAATTGTGTTCAGAAGTGCAGCGATACATGTAGAGGATGTAACAGAACAAACGGATTATGTGAGAATGGGTGTCATCCAGGGTGGAAAGGAAATTTCTGTCACCAAGGTAAAATCTTTATTACTAGACCTCACTATTTACTTTTTGTAAGAACGTTTTCAAAAATCATTTATGGTAAATGTAAATGAGTTTAAATGTTGGCGGTTGACGCATATCAACAACACTTATTTAAAAAAAGTTAAAAATTTAATCATTAATGGAGGTTTATATTTATTGGTCATTTCTTTATAGATATTACAGTAATATCTGTTATATGAATTTCGTTTCCATGATGATTTTGTAGGAACTTCAGAACGATGCATAACGCTCGAATTACTGTAAATTAGGGACGTCAACGAGTACCCGGTTAACCAGGTACTCGATTGAACGTCCGAGTAACGACTGCTAAAAATGGTACTCGGTTACTAGGATGTCAATTTTGTAATATTTACATTTCCAATAAATTTTCCCTATGATTCTTTAAAAAATGAAATGCAGTATATTTTCTCATGAACTACATCAGGTGTGTATCACGAATAAGCAAGAATATCTCCATTGTTACGTCATATTACCGCTCTTGACGTCAAAAAGTCAAAAATATAGTGCACACTGTTTTGTTTTAAAAATGACAGTTGAACGGCGTAGATTTATGGCAAGACATCAGAAAAATAATATAAATATTAGAAATGAATTAAATTTTTTGAAGATTCATGAGGTATATGAACTACAACGCTTCACATCGGCATATTTATCATGAAGCGCTAACGCGCCTCATAAAATATGCCGGCGTGAAGCGTCGTAGTTCATAAACTCGTGAATCTTCAAAAATTAAATTCATTTCTTAAATGTTTCTAAGTTCATTTATTAATTTATTAATGCATTAAAACCTCGGTTTTCAAACGAAAAAAATGTTCATTACATTTGTACATACAGTAATTAGGGTTTTCTACACCTCTAATTGACCGTTATCGGCCATGGCAGTGTTTATACAGTAATCATCGTGACCAAGAACCTGCTACCTGGCTTTTCTCACCTTTGAATGTCTTCTAACCTTATTTTTTGTTTGCTTTAATGATTTGTTTTCTCTGCACATCGTTTAAGGTCTATTACGTTTAAATAAATTGGATAATTTTGCCAATTCTCCAAGAAGCATGAAATTCTCAGGAAGGAGACAGATGATATATTGCACGTGCGAATGCATTGTTGACATGGTTGTGTTTGATTTCATGCCAATTAATTCAAATAGTTGAAGCTAAAGGTTTAAAAAAAAAAAAACTAATGTCCATCGTTGCACCAAATTACAACATACCGTCCCGTAATACTATAAAATATAGATACGAAGATTGGAAATCTGGCCTGTTATAGAAGAACTTGATCAAGTCGATACTGTACATGTAGTTCTGACGACTGATCACTTGGAAGTCAAACGCAACCAAAGAGTTACATTACAATTACGGAGCATATTATTATTTAAAAATATGAACCATTTATGATTTTATTACTTGTGTTTATCAGATAAATAAATAGATATTTAAAAATGTTATTATTAAATTTCGTAGGGCACGAGGTGCTCATAATCATTATATCAGATTTACAGGTAAATCTCCCATCGGCGCATCCGGTTTTATTTCTTCACGAGTTTACAATGTTTTACAGTTATCAATGTTCACATTTATTTACACTTTTACCGAATACCCGGGTTCTCGATCGGAAAAACGTCCGAGTAACCGAGTATTAAAAATCGACCGATTTGACATCCCTACTGTATATGTATTATATTTGGCGAGTACGATATTTGGCGAAAATTGACTTTTGAATAATTTTGCTTAGATTTAATTTAGCGCATTTCTTCTTATGCTTATTTATATGTATAGGTTCAAGACATTTAGCTATGTTCTTGATTTAACGGTTGCTGCGATCCGCCACAGCCGCTAAATGGGATACACAGCCAAATGTTATTCGTTTACAGTATACAGTTTTTGGATGTTATATATAATGTAGCCAGATATATGCAAAGTGTAGAAAGAATGACACCAACAGCCCACCAAAAATGGATAACCAAAAGTAACGGGTTCACACCCCGGCAAACACTTACATAAGTAGATAAAATATATAAAAAATGTTCCTTTGGCAAGCTCTTAGTACCTTGACATATAAGGTGTGGTTGCTTCGACTAGAACCAAGAACCAGACAGACATTGTCAAGATAAAGATCCCATACTTGCCAAATGTTTTTTGTTCGAAACCTTTCTGATGGTGCATTTTTTGCGGTTTTTCTTTTATATGACGAGGTCTCGAAATTATTATTACCAAGCCGGATGTAAAACAACATAATATTGTTTATCATCAAACAAAAAATCAAATGTGCATTAACAGATGTTCTGGGTATATATTTAACTCCCCTTTAAAAAGTCGCACAGTTTAACGTATACACCATTTCCCGTTTCAAACACAAAACCACGCATCCATTGTTTTTCCGCAATCACACATTTTTCACACACTTTCTAAATTTCATATAATCTTCAATTTAATGATAAATATGTTCCCTAAACGAAGTTGGGGGACATGTTGTTTTTACCCTGTTTCTTCTTCTTATTTTTCTTCTTCCTGGGCACTTTTTCGTTCGCGAATGATCTCGTTTACTACACATCCGACTTAGGTGAAATGTTTCTAGGGTTAGTAGACATGTTATGTAGATTTGCCGAACGAAGGTCGTTTTGCGCACGTGCTTGCAAGAGCACACACGTGCAACGCATGAAATGACCAATATAATGAATATAGCCGTAACTTTTTCAATTTTTGATGAAATGCTTTGAAACTTATAATGTAAGGATACATTAGTAGCATACACAAGATGATATGGTCAAAATAGCAAGATATCACGCGCATGCACGTGTGCTTTGCTCTGATTGGCTGAAACTAAAGTCTTTATAAATTTCTTGTTTTTTGATAAAATTCTTTGAAATTTTAAACATAGTCATACATTAGGGAGATCTACATCCTGATATATAATAATTATCATGAAAGCATTTGCATGCATGTGTGATTGCAAGAGCGCACGCGTGCAACAAGAAAAATGTCCAATATAATTGATATGGACGTAACTATTTTATTTTTTATGAAATGCTCTGAAACTCATAATATAAGGATATATTAGAAGATTAAACAAGAGGACATGGTCAAAATGGCAAGATCTCAGGCGCATGCATGTGCGCTTCTTTCTGATTGGCTGAAACTAAAGTCTCAATATCTTTTATGTTTTTTGACAAAATCCTTTGAAATTTTGAACATGGTTATAAATTATAAAGGTCTACAGCATGATGTATAAGAAATATCTAAAAAGCTTGCGCATGCACGTTTGCTGCAATCTAATTGGCTGAAACTTTAAATGTCTATAACTTTCTTAGTTTTCAACGAAAGAGGATAAAATTTAGAATATATTGGATTCCTTCATTATGGTACTATAAAAATGAATGCACGAACATGCATGCATGCATGTGCGTGCGCGATAGACGCAAAATGACCAGTTTATCTAAAAAAAGGTAACATTAATATTTTTATGATTTTTTATTGATTCTCACGATATAAAGTTATGTTATTGGTTTAGACAACATGCGTACAATGCGTTAAATGACATATAGTTGATAGCATTGTAGCCTTTATAATTCTTTGATGACATCCTTCAATACTGATCATATTTTTATTAAAATGGCTTACAGAAATAAGGCATAAAAAGCGATTTGGGGAGCGTTTGGGGAACATCTGTAATAGTCCCCGTTACAATTAGCACTAGTTCCCTAATATGTAGACGATGCGACCGTTAGGGCGAGCACAGATACTTATCCAGTTTTTATTTAGATCGGGCCCGTCAAACCGCACGTGACATTCGGCGCGTCTAAGACTCTGACGTCATATGACGTCGTATGCATGGTTTTTCAAACTGAAACCTGAACAGGGCTGATTTCAATGAAGAACCGTTTTGTTGACTATTTTTCTGAGACAAATTCATTACTTTTTTTTCTTTTAACTTTTGTCGTTATTCCCTCTAGAACGTTGCTTTAGCGTTTGTGTACAAAGCGATGCATTGTGGATCAAAATAACTGCGGAAAAATTCTATGTAATGAATGTGAAATAGTCCGAATTTTCTCTTCGCCCAGGCGTTGTGGTAAGAGCTTGCAGTTACGAGCGTCGCTTCGTAACGCTCGCTGCGCTCGATATTACTTTTTAACAGCTAAAATATCTATTTTTCAGAGAAGCTTTTACTGTATTAAAATATTATGTCATAAGTATTAACGCCAGAGTTGAAAAAATTCGCCGCGCTATTAAGTGCTTTTAGTGTGAAGATAGCTTCATATTTATATGGCATGAATATTACATGTAGCATTACAATTCAGATAATTTATACTTACCAATGTATAGCAAAACACGACAGAGTATTTTTATTTAACAAATTTACACAGGCAAATTAAACCAAAGTCAGTCTTTACTTTTCAAATTAAGCATGCACTGAGGGGTACTTTGGATCGAATTGTTTGCACAAGTGTAATGAGACTTGTAAAGGGTGTAATGGAACAAATGGCGTTTGTGAAAATGATTGCCTCCCTGGTTGGAAAGGACTGTATTGTCATGAAGGTAAACATCAAAATTAAATGATGAACTAAGAGCACTTGAACAATTTTCCAACGAAAAACTAAAAAAAAAATTTTTCCCGATAATAATGGGCTGAAGAAATCATAGAAATACATTTTGAAATTCTTTAAATATATAGAACTTTAAAAATCAAAATCAATAAAGATGTCATTTGTACTAAAAACATTTAATGGGTAATATTTGAAACCAAAGTCTGTAGTTTGATAGTTAAAATACAAATTTTAAAAGGCGAAAATCTAGGGCTGTTCAAAACCGTGTAATTGTTTTATTATTATTATTTTTCATATTTTCCTTCAAGTATGCAACAAAGGATTCTACGGAAATAATTGCAGCATGATTTGTGGAAACTGTTTGAACTCGGAACAGTGTCAACCAAATAACGGGACTTGTATGAATGGTTGTGATTTGGGCTTTGAAGGAGCATTTTGTAATGAAAGTAATTTTTTCACGAATACGGAATATCATTTTAAGGACAATTAATGTTACCTTATATAAAAAAAAATCATTGAGGTAAAATAAATTAAATGGAGGGCGGTTTTCGTTATCATTCCAAATCTCACAATGATGTGATTCTAAAAGATATAAAAAACTGAATTGTGGCTGTCCAAATGTGGGCATTTTTTCATAATTTTGAAACATAGTTTTATGTTCGCATTTTTTACAATAAAAACAATCTTTAATCATTTATTTGTATACCAATCCAGACAATCCTTTGTTTTATCATATTACTTTAGTTCTACATGTACCTTGTATGTTTCGTGATGGTTTCCTTTAAAATTGTTAGTTGATATTCATTATAATATGTTTGTATATCCTTAAAAGCATGTAAGGATGGAACTTTTGGACATAACTGCCATGCTACATGCAACGATACGTGTTATGGATGTAACACAACAAATGGTAAATGTGAAACCGGATGTCATCCAGGATGGAAAGGAGATTACTGCAATGAAGGTGCGACCTTTTAACCTTGTCATTAAAATTAGAACTGTGTCTTGAATTTTAATTATGATGTATTCTTTCCAATACAGTTTTGTAAATACGTATACAACAAAGAGGAATGTTCGACTCAATTTTTAACAATGAATTGACGGATTCCGTCAACCAAAATCGAATCCCTTCTCATCTTCCCCTCACCATACTGAATTATATTATATATTTATCATGGGACTGTTTTATTATACTTGACATATATTTTTTTTTCTGTAGAGTTAGTATATTAAGATTTTGTTTGAAACGTTCTATGCAAATATTTCAGAGTGCATTAATGGATTCTTTGGCAAGAATTGTAGCAAGACATGTGGGTTTTGTAAACGAATGGAGGATTGTCAACCTATAAATGAAATGTGCCTAAATGGATGCATCGCCGGATATGAAGGACAAACCTGTAATAAAAGTATGTATATATTTCTGTTGCATATATATTGCATGGATCTTATGCAGTTGTGCGTATAAATGTAAAAAAAAAAACAAAAAATAAAAAACAAAAACAAAAACAAAAAACAAAAAAACAAAAAAAAAAAAACAAAAAAAACAAAAAACAAAACAAAACAAAGACATTAATGCATCTGCAATGATTAACTTTACCTTAAATAACTTTCTCAATCTGAAAGCATGCACTGACGGATACTTTGGAGAAGGCTGTGTCCTTAAGTGTAGTGATGCATGTAAAGGATGTAACAAACGAAATGGGATCTGTGAGGATGGTTGTCAACCTGGTTGGGAAGGGAAACGCTGTTCAGATAGTAAGAGACATAGCTAAAAAATTATCTCAACTCATATATAAGCCTTCTTGACAATTATTTCCTTGCATTATTTTCATTTTCATTACTTCTTTCACAACTACACAGAAAATACTGTCATTTATAAAAATGTTGTTATTCGTCAGAGTGTTTGAAGAACTTCTTCGGAGAAGGATGTAATATGAGTTGTGCTCAGTGTCTGAACGGGAAACAATGTCACCATATCAACGGTTCATGTCAGAGTACATGTGCACCTGGATACAGTGGGGATAAATGTGATGAGGGTACATGTATTCTGATTTATATTCTACTTAATGATATTAGAAAAAACCTTTTTTCTGCACATTTTGTACCAACATCATGTTCTATAACATGGCATGTATAATACAATAACACATGTGCGCTAAAATAAGGAACGTTTTTGAAATAATTTCATTTTTCTATGATTGATTTGGAAGTCTGCAGGTTTGGATATTTTGGGGATAAGTGAGCACAGGAGTGCAGTGTCTATTGCAAAGAATCACGTGATTGCCATCAAGTTTCCGGAATTTGCCGAGGCGGGTGTAAAAAAGGCTGGCAAGGAAACGATTGTATGAAAGGTAAATAAAGTTATGAGTCCACATCTGCTTCCAACGTATAATCATAGTTATACAGTATAAAATGAAATGTAAGGAATTACTATCTTTTTTTGTTTTTAGATGTAGAGGTAATGCACATAGTTGATTCAATAAAAAACCTCAAGGAACAGTTCTATTCTGCTTTTGGTGTTTGCTGCTTTCTTATTTTCGTCATTGGGGTTTCTGTGATATTTAAAAGGATTAAGAGGTACTTTTATTCTTTGTTTGCTGAAACAATTATTATATATCTTTTTAAATGATCATTCTTACATCATAAAATGATATTATTTGCAGGTTATCTGGATTCAATTGCAGTGAGAGGATTTCTAAACGTACGTCTTCTTCTTTTGCAAAGGATTCAAAAACCACTTCTATACCAATGGTTAAAAATGACAATAATTATAAGGACGAATATCAAGAACTTGGGGATCTCTGCTCGCCTTCCAATTACGACATACTTAAATGATATTCTCTTAAATCATGCTTATAATATATAATATTATATATAATATATAAAGTTATTGATATATTCAAAATTAATATTAGTATTAGGTTCATAACGTTAAATTACGGATGATGTTCTGTATTATATATTTTTGTGTTTATTTTTTAAGGCAATATTATTAGATTGATGACATGATTGTTTGTTTTTTAATGAACATCCCTCTCGAAAAATTTTCACTCATAGGATATGCAACCACTTGCCCGTGGTGTGCTACAAAGTATGACCTATACCCGGTACTTTCTGTCATTGAGAAGTGATGGGGTCTTTTTCGTACCAACACATACTGAAACCCGATACCTCTTTTTGTACTGTCTATTTCGAGAAACGGTGCCCTCATTGCGATTCGAACCCGCGACGTAATTACTAATTTTTTGACATGAGCGGACTTTTAACCATAATGTCAAGTTGGTGACTCGTAATTATAAGAAATGCCATATCTGTGTTTAAAATAAAAAGTCTTTTTGCAAACTGAGATTATTATTTGAATAGAGGATTGACTGTATTCATGTTCATTCGACACTATGTAGATCAAGCTATCAAATATAATAAGAAATATTGAACAATATAAAATTAATATCTGCTTGATATACATGTACATTTATAAGTAACTTGCTAAATTACCAATTAAATATCCTTTACATTTACATATTCTAAAAAATCCCCTCGTTGTATTTTGGTTTTTATAATATAGTAATTTAAAAGTCTTTCCACAAAAAGCTTAAGGTACATGTATTCATTTCTTTATTTTGAAAAGGGATATTTCAAGGTTGGTTAGAATATAATTTATATATATATATATATAAAATCGTTTACAGTAATGTAATAATAATAATGTGACTCATTTTCTTTTGGCGCTCGGACTATTCAAATTATATTTGTTTACTCTTAATTCTAAAATATTAAACTGAAATTTATATCAATGAAACATAAGTTTTGACAATAAATATTTTTGAAATATATATTCTGAATAACAAAATGTTGGCTGTCAGAATTTTCAGAAAAAAAAAAAATATTAAAATTGCGTTTGATGAAAATGACTTATTACGCATGATGAGAGCGAGGGATGCAAAAAAATGCTTCTTATTAAGATTGTCCACCTCATAGACAAGAGAGAAAAGTGCAAGTGACATAGCACACTCCATAATTTATGGAGAATTTTTTTTTGTATTGCAAATTAGATTTTTTTTCAATGGAAAGTACTAGTTGATATGTATATGTTTGTTTTAAACAGACGGTGGGTGACTATTTCAATTAAATATTAATATTAAATTGTGGACAGCATTTCTTAATTTAATTTTTTTTACTCTTTGTAAGGAAGATATTCCATTACTATGTTGTTGATTTTTTTTACTATTGTTAAATGTCCCTCTCGAGAATCTGTATATGCTCTACACTGTGTCCTAGACATTTGGGAGTAAGGGTTCTTTTTTGTACCATGACCTACTGAGACAGAGGACCTCTGTGTATACGGACCGGTCTCTACTGTCCTTAGTGAGAATCAAACCTTCGACTTTGTGACTTCACAACAGAAGCTTTAACCGCTGCCTCAGTTACAAAAGCAGCTTCAAGAGACTAAAAACATAATGGCATTTGAAATGTCACTTTGAGTAATTCACAATCGATTCCATTTATAGACCCATATTCTTTCAAAGAGTTATCACATAGAATACAGTTTGAAATGTGAATATAATTATATTTTTAAATTTTTAATGTTATCAACAATTTTTTTTTGACACATACATGTACATAAGGAAATGAACATACTTTTTTTTTCAAAGCGTTATCACAATTTTACAGAATGGCATATGAAGTCCAGAAATAATCTTTAAAAAAATGATATCTTTTAAATACCAGTCTCTTTTTGGGACGAATAAATCATGATTGTATTTTTAAAAAGTTGGTTTCCTTCTGTAGAAAATCGCTTCCTTCAAAAGGTCAACGTTTCAAATTTCTTATACATGTAGATAATTTGTAATTAAATCATTGGTTATGAAAAATGTGTGTAATTCAGAATGATTTAGGTATTCAAATACATATTATTCAAATACATATCAAAGTATGCACGCGTTTCTGAAGGAAGCGCATTTGTGTAAATATCTAACATTTTTTTTAGACACATTGATCTGTGAAAATAAGAGCGTTTTATTAAGTTATTAATCTCTAGATAACAGACTAATCTATTTTTTTTCACACATGATTCTCTAAAGTTTACACTTTTGTACATTTTACGCCTTTATTTGTAAACTATTCAGAATACACAATTACTTAACCACATTTTGTATAATATACACGAAAAACCTCAATTAGAGTAAAAGGACGAACTTACAGACTGAGAAAGCGGAGCATATAAATCTTTTTGATTTAAAAAAAAGTAGGAAGAGGTGTCAGGAAAGCTTCCACGAGAATAACTGGCTTGTTGCAACCAATTAAATCTGCAAAGGCTACTCAATTATAACTGGAAAATCCTACGTACTATTCGATATTAAATAATCATTATTGTTGAAGACAAACTTCATGCTGCAGAACAGATCTGTAAATGTGCTTCAGGCACATGCGAATTGAGTTGTTCATTATTGCCCACATTTAAGAGCACATAACGGTGTTTCTATATTTTTTAAGTGTATAGTACATAGAACAAATTTTGAATCCGCACCAATGATTTTTTTTAACTTGCTGTTCCTAATCCTTTTATATTTTTTGCCTATCAATTCAATGTTTCAGTGTAGCTATCGTTAAAATGATCCTTCTTTTTTTTAAATATAAAATTAGGCCAATGGTACATGAGTTTTTATTATTTCACTGGAGTTAGCTTTAGATAACTGGATTCCAACACTGTAATTTTAAGCAATAAATTGATTTTATAAAATCATTTTATCACCACATTTCATTTTTATTATGCACTGTATCACTATTATTGAATTACTGTGCCATTTTTTTTTCTCAGTTCTGAAACTGTTAGTAAAAATAAATATCATTGATTTCTTAATTTCTATAGGATGATACTGATTTTACGTAGGTTAATGGTTATTATGCTGGTCTTATTCTCTGTTTCTTGATGCAGATGGGAGCGATTATTGATGATATTTTAATTCTGATGCTGGTTCTCACTGTATGTTGATCTTTTTCGTATGCTGCTGATTGATACAAAATAATTTATTTCCCCTAATATGTTCATAAAAACCAAAAAAAAGTCATTGAGTTTCAATATAACATAAATTATTGCAAGAACTTTCAAAAGAAATGTAAGGCAAATTGCAAAAAAGACTGAAATAATTCTATTGTACCTTTTGATTGAAAATGTTGGTTAATATAGTTATTATTAAAGATTGGACATGTTAATTTTTTTATGATCCCATTGCACAAGATATACAATGTATGTCATAAAATAGAGATTTAAAGGGATTCCTATAAACTTACTTATTGATTCGGGAAATAAAACGATAAAGAGGATTTGTTAAAAGATGATTTTTTTTAATTTCCTTGTTACGCTTGTGTTAAAATGTGGTTCCGTGTGATTTCTTATTTACGCTATTAAAGATAAAAAGCCTCGAAAAAACTACTCAATGCATGTTAATATTTGTGAATAGAATTTATTTGACGTCTTAAAGACGTTGACATTTATATCACCATCAACCTCTTTTCTTAGAACTTGTGTGCTTTTTTGCTGGTTTATAAAGTTGCAGGGTTAAAGTGATAAGAATGTTGTCTATCTATTCGAGTGTACGTCCGTCTGTTATGCTTTGGTGAACCCATCTCTTATCGGCAACTCCTTTTAAACCAATTTGTGAAAATTATGAGATTTTCACAGGTCCATTGTAACAACACATCATTGAGCACCTCCTATATTATAGGGTTATTGAACTTATATTGGTGAATATTGGCACGAGTTGGCTGTTCAAATGCACGAGCTGCGAGTGCATTTGAACAACCAACGAGTGCCAATATTCACCAATATAAGTTCAATAACTCCTTTATTATATAGCTAAAACATTTCCACATAATTTATTATAATTATTCCAAACAAAAAACCCTCAAGTAAATGATTAATTAGCATCGGTATTCAAATTAACGTCTGTCCTGTTAACGTTCAATTCGCATCATTCCGATGACCCTACCGAGCGTTATGATTTGCTTATTTAGGTTTTGATAGGTCTAGTACGTA